AAGACACTACACTTAGAGGACCATCATCCTCGGGCTACGAGGAATTGCCTAACTAAGTAACTGTGACCAAACGTAGGGAAAACAAGGAACGGAGTGGGGTGGGAGAATAATGTCATTGTCCCCTTTAGTTTTCACTTCTTATGATTCCCAAGGTTCTGCTTGATGTCCTCTTCCAGTTCCCCTGAATGTGTTTTGCTGTGTGTTTGGTGTTAAGGCTGCATCTAAAATTGTCTTTCTTGAGCAATTGTCCTGCTGCATTTGCAGGCAGCCCTGTATGCCAACATGCTAGCGTACCTGCCAGCAGCAACCCTCAGGGGAGGTGTGCTGATTCCTCCAGTGATAATGACTTTCTTCTTGAGATGTACTAGTATTGGGAGGGGGGCACAGCAAGAGCAGAGTGATGATAGCTCTAACAGCGCTGGCTAACAGGGGCGTTTTGGAACCAACAAGCTTGCAGTCCTTTGCACAGATACATTATCTCCATCTGATGTCTATTCTCTTTCTTTTCGCCAGCTTAGATATTCTCAAGCAATGCATCCCCCCACCTCCATTGTATATAGTGAAATAGGATTTACTTCTATCCCTTAAAGCAGGAATTCTCAAACTTTTTAAGCAGAAGGCTGGTTCACAGTCTCTTAAGACTGTTGGGGGGCTGGACTATAGTTTGAAAAAAACATGAATGAATTCCTATGCACACTGCACATATCTTATTTGTAGTGCCATTTTTTGAAAGAACAGTACAATATTGAAAACTATGAACAATTCTAACCAACATAAACAAACCAGTATTTCAATGGCAAGTGTGGGCCTGCTTTTGATTGATGAGATAGTCAAGTAAATTACGATTGTTGTTGTGTGCCTTGAAGTCATTTCAGACTTAGGTCTTAAGTTTAGAGAGGGGGGCAGGTAAATGACCTTGGAGAGCTGCATCCAGCCCATGGGCCTTAGTTTGGAGATCTCTGCCTTAAAGATACCAGATTCCATCAGACCTTGGAGGCTAAGCATAGTCAGCCCTGATGAGTTTTTGGATAGGTAAAGGTAAAGGTTTTCCCCTGACATTAAGTCTAGTTGTGTCCGACTCTGGGAGTTGGTGCTTCTCTCAGTTTCTAAGCTGAAGAGACAGTGTTGTCTGTAGACACCTCCAAGGTCATATGGCTGGCATGACTTGCTGTTACCTTCCTGCAGAAGTGGTACCTATTGATCTACTCACATTTGCATGGTTGGCAGAAGCTGGTGCTAACAGTGGAAGCTCACCCCACTCCTCAGATTTGAACCGCCGACCTTTTGGTCAGCAGCTCAGTGGTTTAACTTGCTGTGCCACCGGGCGCTCTGTTTTTGGATAGGGGACTACTAATGAATACCAGGTGTTGTAAGATATATTACAGAGAAAGGAACTGCAAAACCACACCTGAATACTCATATCTAAGATAATCCTACAAAATCCACGGGATTGTGATAAAGTCAACAGGTGACTTGAAGTCTCATCGACATTCATAGAGTGAAATGGTATTCCAGATTCCCTTCACATCTGGCTATAGCATATCAAATGAAACATTCTAGCTGTGACCGTAAAGTGAACACTTCCAACTTTATCTCCCAGCTCCTCAGGAGGGCCAAGTTTCAATCCTCACTAAGGAAATGAAATTCACTGGATGACCTTAGTCCAGACTCTTTCTCTCAACCTGATTCTACTTTGCTGGGTTGTTATGAGGTTACAGTTACACATGAGAGCCATTTAGACTGCCTTGAGCTCAATGGGTGAAAGGCAGGATGAAATAGAATGAGTTTAATAAATCTTACCAAGAGGGGAGCTTAGACTCTTCCTGTGTGAATGTCAGACTTGTGCTCTCGTTTGGCTCTACTCTTGTCTCTGGGATAGGTTTCCAATTATAGACAGAGCATCCCCAAAATCAGATTAAGGCTACAATCCTTTTGCAGTTTTACATTCGTGAAATTGGCCCACTTTCTCTAACGTGTCTAATTGTTGCAATGGCTTTGCTTGTCGCTACAATAGTTGCCAGATGCCACCTGGGCATAGTTCTGCCCCTTGACTCAAAAGGCCCCAGGTAGGTTACAGAGGTGTGCAGTGAAGTTCACTTGCACCAATGCCAGGGTCATTGTCTTCATCCTCCTCCTCCTCTAGTGCCCAGATCTGAACTGGGCATACTGGTGAAACTTACCACCAGCTTCAAACATGATCTGGACCCTAAATAATTTCCCCTAATTTGGAAGTACATTGCATGCACTGTATTACATTTAGAAAACATACACACAATAAATTGTTTTCCTTCTTTTGTGAAAGAGCACAAAGGAAACACACACTTTGGATCATCTAACCCAGGCACATCTTGTTGCTCAATGGAGAGAGTGCTGATTACATGCAGATGCACATCTGCAGTGTACATCTGCCTGCAAGGAGTGCTGTGCAGATGGACAAGAGCCATATTCAGATGTACCTTGATCACAGAGAGCTCGGCACAAGGGGGCAATAAATCAAAAATCAAAACATTTTTCATCACAACTGCGTAGTTCTGTCCTGGCTTTCAGTTGACTGCTGATGAATCCTCATTGTTCTCTCTCTTTCTCTGAATATAAAATATTAGAATGGTCCAAATGGGACTGATTATGCTAAGTGCCCCCTAGGAACGATGGGCTGTTAAATATCAGTTGGAAACAAAACAGAGAAAGTTGTGTATGCATGTATAGATGGGGGAGGATGGATGAATGAATGCGTGAGAGTATATTGGCTTGCAGTATTTTGCAGATAAATTTCAGATTTGTATCCTGTCTGGTTGCACTATATTGGATCCCAGTAACTTCTAAAGGGCTATTTGCCATGCAATAAGTGTTGCAAAACTGTGAGAAATGAAGGATTCTGTGTTGGTTAAAATAAAGCAAAGCATAAAAGCCAGGTGAGAAAACAGACTTGTGGCATATAGTTAGGAATTGGGAACCTTAGGACCTTGGAGCAAATATGGTTAGAATCAGAATCATAGTAACCTATGGATGTGAGAGCTGGACCATAAGGAAGACTGAGCGAAGGAAGATAGATGCTTTTGAACTTTTAAATTTTGGAAGAAAATTCTCAGAGTACCTTGGACTGCAAGAAGATCCAACTAGTCCATACTTCAGGAAATACAGCCCCACTGGTCATTGAAGATATTAGAAGCAAAGATGAAGTACTTTGGCCACATCATGAGAAGAAAGGAAAGCTTAGAGAAGACAATGATCCTGGGGAAAATGGAAGGAAAAAGGAAGAGTGGCCAACCAAGGGCAAGATGGATGGATGGTATCCTTGAAGTGACTGGCTTGACTCTGAAGGAGCTGGGGTGGTGACGGCTGACAGGGAGCTCTGGGCTGGTCCTTAAGGTCACAAAGAGTCGGAAGCCACCTAGGGACGTGTGCTTTTCCCCTCATCACCTCATTATTTGGCAGTTTCTCAGCTTTGGTTTGGATCCCTGCACTCACTTTCATTCTAAAAGATTGAAGTCCCTCTTCTAAGGCTTAGGTACTAGCAATATGTGCTTTATGTTAAAATAAATGAGTATTTTTGGTCTCACTCTTTTGCCTTTGAACCCACCTTCCACTGGAATCTCTCTGACAATGAATTAGGCCCTTGGCCTGAAAGATGTTCCTCACCTTTTGACATAAAATGTTAGCTTAATCTATTCGTCTTTGCTATTCTGATCCAATTTGCTGTCTTTTTCTCTGTGCTCAAGTCAGATTTGTGAGAGATCTTAAGGTCTGGTGGGGGAAGATTGTTTGGGGTCCCCTATATATGAAATCTGTCAGCCAAGAAACTAGTCAGCTTTGGTGTTGAAGTATTTTGGAGTATTTTCGCAAATCCTTCTTTTGGATTAAACAGAAAATCCTTCTAGTACATCACACAAGGAGAAAAAGAAAGGATCAAAAGACTCTTTTTTTAAAAAAAATCAAAAAGTTTATGCTCTTTCACCAGTACATTTGCTAATTTAGAAGGATTCTCAATGGATGGATGGGACTTATACGCTATATGTAAGGGACAGAGGTCTTCATACATACAATTTTTTTCATGTCAGGAGCGACTTGAGAAACTGCAAGTTGCTTCTGGTGTGAGAGAACTGGCCATCTGCAACAATGTTGCCCAGGGGACAGTCCGATGCTTTACCATCCTGTGGGAGGCTACTCTCATGTCCCTGCATGGGAACTGTAGCTGACAGACAGGAGCTCACCGCACTCCCCGGATTCGAACCTCCGTCCTGCTGGCACAAGGGTTTAACTCATTGCACCACTGGGGGCTCCAATCCATACAACTGAGGGAAGGCTAAATCCTGTAGTATTCTTCATGTTTTAAACAGGGGCAAAAATCTCAGGACTTCAGAAGAGGTCCACATACAGACCCGTTGATCCTGAGATTTCTGCCTCCGTTGTCCAGACTTGATGCTTCGTTGCGAGATTTAGAGGCTCCCAAGATGGCCGCTGCGGGACTTCCTCCAGAAACTTTGATTTTTTAAAAAAACCAAAAGATGCAGATATGCAGATATATGGAGAATTATTGCAGCGAATCACTGAAAAAGTTCAGTTCTTTGTCCTGGCCAGAGAAATTGCCCTTCAGACATTTAATGACGTATCGGCCACACTAACAAAGTTTACAGGGTAGGACCACTTCTGTCCAAGTTAGCATAGCGCAATCAAACAGGAAAACACACTTTCACGCCAGGAACAGAATTTTGTGATTATTGAGACTTTTTAGAGCCTGGCTGGCTGGCCATCTGTCCAGACAGATTTGGATGTGTACTTGTGACATCAAACAACAGGGTGGTGTTCCTGGGCTATACATGGCTGTTCCTGATTTCTCTTCTTGTGAAAAGATGTACAGCATTAACTTGGTTTGATCTTACCCAGGAATTTCCTTTTTGTTTGCTCCATAAGCTACACAGACTGAACTGTTGCACAATCTTTGATGTACTAGTAGGCTTTTAACTGCTTTTCTTAATTAAATATAACTTTCTGTTTCACACTGAAGTTCCAAAAGAAAGAATTCCAAATAACAACCTACCTCTTCTGATTTGACTTCTCGGCTAGTGAAATCTTTCACACAATCTAGGAAGCAGTTTTCTGTCAGTTTGTTGTATGTTCCAAGAAATTCCTTGAACTGTAAATGAATGAAATAGAGCTTTAGAACTGGATCAATTCTTACACAAGACTAGGCACAGGTGGATACAGAAAAAGCAATACCCACTGAAGGGAAGGGCACTTGCAATGCATATAATAAATACCTCTAATGATAAAAACAATGTTTGGTTCAGCTTTCTTAGGGAAAGCCTTTCAAACCGTCGAACTGTTAGGTAGTACAAACATTTCAAAAGGCTCTAAGATGAGAGCATTGTGTTTACCTGCTTGATCTGATCAGACTCCGAGATTTGCCCGGCCATAATTTAATGCGCAGCCAACTGCCACCTAAACTGAACACAAGATATTTAGGTCAATGTTCACTCCATTAAGATTTATGGCTGAAATACAAATAATGCAACCAAAAGCCTACATCCAATTGCTAGTTACAGAGTACACAAACTGAATCAATCACCACTGAGAAGACCCTGCCTCTCATCCCCGCCAAATGTATTTGTGATGCAGGCGGGATCAAGAGCAGGGCCTCCCCAGACGATCTTAAAGTCCTAGCAGGTTCATAAGGGGAGATGCGTTCAGACAGGTAAATTGGGCCAGAACCGTTTAAGGCTTTATAGGCTAAAGCCAGCATTCTGAATTGTACCCGATAGCAAACTGGTAGCCAGTGGAGCTGGTGCAGCAGGAGAGTTGTATGCTCCCTGAGCTCAGCTCCCATTAGTAATCTGGCTGCTGTCAGTTGGACCATTTGAAGCTTCTGGACAATCTTAAAAGGCAACCCCACATAGAGCGCATTACAGTAGTCTATACGGGATGCAACCAGAGCGTGGAATACTGTGGCCAAGTACCATATATACTCGAGTATACGCCGACCCGAATATAAGCCGAGGCACCTAATTTTACCACAAAAAACTGGGAAAACTCATTGACTCGAGTATAAGTCGAGGGTGGGAAATGCAGCAGCTACTGGTAAATTTCAAAATAAAAATAGATATCAATAAAATTACATTAATTGAGGCATCAGTAGGTTAAATGTTTTTGAATATTTACATAAAACTGTAATTTAAGATAAGACTGTCCAGCTCTGATTAAATCATTATTCTAATCTTCAGTGTAAATGTGCTTATGTATCCCTCCAGTAATAATAAAGAGAGTGTAATAATAATAATAATAATAATGAAATCCAGCATATATACCTCATTTGCTGTGTCATACTGTGTTTTTGTGTCAGGATAATAATAATAATAATAATAATAATAATAGAGTAAAATAATGGAAATGTAATAACAGTAATAACAGAGTAAAATTATAAATGCAGTAACAATAAAAATAAAGTAAAACAATAAATGTAATAATAATAAAGAGTAAATAAATAATACTAATAATAAATAGAGTAAAATAATAAATGTAATAAAATAATAATACTGTAGAGTAAAATAATGTAAATATAATAATAATTATTATATTTAAATAATTCATGTGCGAAGGGCTTGCCCCAATTCAAAGAAAAGGGGTTTTCAGGAGAGAGAAGTTACGGCATTAGGGCAACCAGTGCAAACACCAATACAGTTATAATCTTATCATTTACAATCAACTTCTGTACATCATGTAATAAAATGATACTAATAACAAATACTAATAACAAATAATAATAATGATACTAATAACAAATTAGTGCAATGATTGGTTAATGAACACTGGAATGGAACAATGGATGACGAATCTGGAACATGTTTTTGATGACAAGACAACAGTGAATGGGTATTGTAGTAACTGTTTATTAATTGTGTAATGTGTTAGGTTGTTAACTGTTTTTATACTGTAGCACTGAATTTTTGCTGTTCGTATTTGTTGTGAACCGCTGTGAGTCGCCTTCAGGCTGAGAACAGTGGTATATAAGTAAGATAAGGTAAATAAATAAAGTAAACTAATAAATAACCTTGACTCGAGTATAAGCCGAGGGGAACTTTTTCAGCCTAAAAAGGAGGCTGAAAAACTAGGCTTATACTCGAGTATATACAGTATATAAATACGGCAAATAAATAAATAAGTAGACATGGCCAGATGTTAGGTGACATCTAGACTGGGTTAGTCCAGTGTTAGCTACAATGAACTAAATTAGAAGAGAAATTGCAAGCACTTATTTTTTTTAATTAATCACCCAACAATACCACATACATGTCTTCAACCACAGCTGTTTTACACAAACATGCAAATCTTGTACTAAACATATATTTTCCAGCTGCAATTCTAATGTGGATATTTGGCATCCATATTTAGCATGCTGCCACATAATGGCGACTATAGTGTATCTATTAAAACAAAGAATGCAGCGGAACGGAGAAAGAATTTTTACAAAACAGTGCAGGACATCTATGCCAAGAATTGAGATTAGTGTCTCTTCCAAATTAATTGCTTCCCGAATGAAGTGAGCCTGCTAGCAGTTTTAAGGACTGTCAAGGTCATAACGAATGCTTGCAGACCTCTCTTAATGAAAAGCAGTGCTAGAAAGCAGCAAGGGACCCAAAAGCCCATAACTCAGGCTGCAGAATTGAATGCAGTTTTGACATCTTTTCACTGCATGGCTCAATGTTATGTTATGGAGTTTGACAAGGTCTTCAGCCTTCTCTGCCAAACAACAAATCCCAGCATTCCATAATATTGAGCCATGGCAGTTAAAGTGGGGTTACACTACATTAATGCTACAGTGTAGATGCACCCTCAATAAGATGAAAATGTGACCAAAAAAGAAAAAAAAATCCCTCTCATCTCAATATTTCCTTCTTCTTTTCCATCCTCGTGTTGATGCTATTTTAACTACAATGAACTTAATGCAGGAGCCGCAGTGGTGCAAAGGATTAAACCTTTGTGCAGGCTGAACTGCTGACCTGAAGGTCATCAGTTCGAATCTGCGAGATGGGGTGAGCTCCCATCTGTTAGCTACAGCTTCCCATGTGGGGACATGAAAGAAGCCTTCCATAGGATTAAACCCTTGTGCCGGCTGAAATACTGACCTGAAGGTCATCAGTTTGAATCTGTGAGATGGGGTGAGCTCCCATCTCTCCCATCTGTTAGTTCCAGCTTCCCATGTGGGGACATGAAAGAAGCCTCCCATAGGATGGTAACACATCCAGGTGTCTCCTGGGCAATGTCTCTACAGACGGTAAATTATTTCGCACCAGAAACAACTTGCAGTTTCTCAAATTGCTTCTGACACGATAAAAAAAAACCTTAATTCTATGGAATCCTGGGATTTGTAGTTTGGCGAGGTACAACCACCCTTCAACAGAGACCTTGTAAAACTAGAGCTTCACTGATCACACAGTACTGAGGCATAGCAGTTAAAGTGGGATCAAAGTGCAGTGTAGATGGACACACTGCCTGTCGACCGCAGACATCCATTAGTTTTACTAATCAAAAGTTTTGGGCTCCTTCTACACTGCCATATAATCCAGATTATCAAAGCAGATAATCCATATGACCTGCTTTGAACTGGATTATATGTCTAAAATGCCATATAATCCGGATTATTTGAGTAGATAATCCACATGATATGCTTTGAACTGGATTATATGTGTCTACACCATATAATCAGATTATCCAAGTAGGTAATCCATACGATCTGCTTTTGAACTGGATATGAGTCTACACGGCCATATACTCCAGATTATCTAAGTAGATAATCCACATGATCTGCTTTGAACTGGATCATATGAGTCTACACGGCCATATAATCCGGATTATCGAGTAGATAATCCACACTATATGCTTTGAACTGGATTATATGTGTCTACATGACCATATAATCCATACAATCTGCATTTGAACTGGATATGAGTCTACACGGCCATATACTCCAGATTATCTAAGTAGATAATCCACATGATCTGCTTTGAACTGGATCATATGAGTCTACACGGCCATATAATCCGGATTATCGAGTAGATAATCCACACTATATGCTTTGAACTGGATTATATGTGTCTACATGACCATATAATCCATACAACCTGCATTTGAACTGGATATGAGTCTACACGGCCATATACTCCAGATTATCTAAGTAGATAATCCACATGATCTGCTTTGAACTGGATCATTTGAGTCTACACAGCCATATAATCCAGATTATCTACTCGATAATCCACGTGATCTGCTTTGAACTGGATCGTATGAGTCTACAGGCCCATATAATCCAGATTATCTACTTGATAACTCACATGATCTGCTTTGAATTGGATCATATGAGTCTACACGGCCATATAATCCACACGATCTGCTTTGAACTGGATCATATGAGTCTACATGGCTATATAATCCGGATTATTGAGTAGATAATCCACATGATCTGCTCTGAACTGGATCATATGAGTCTACAGGCCCATATAATCCGGATTATCTACTCGATAATTCACATGATCTGCTTTGAACTGGATCATGAGTCTACACAGCCATATAATCCGGATTATCGAATAGATAATTCATATACTCTGCTTTGAACTGGATCATATGAGTATACACAGCCATATAATCCGGATTATCGTTTATGAGTCTACATGGCCATATAATCCGTATTATCGAGTAGATAACCCACATGACCTGCTGTGAACTGGATCATGAGACTACACAGCCATATAATCCGGATTATCGAGTAGATAATTCACATGATCTGCTTTGAACTGGATCATGAGTCTACACAGCCATATCATCCGGATTATCTTGTATGGCAGTGTAGAAGGGGCCTGCTATAACCCTTCCCCGTTTAATACTTCTAGCACAAAGAATCAACTCCTAAAACCTTCCCTCCTGGCTTGCTTGCTTGCTTCTCACCTTTCTCTTGTAATGGCTGCGGATCCTTCCTTCCTTCCATCGACCACGTGGGGGTGCATCGCCTTAAAGGGTCCCGGTTTCCACCCGGACGACTATCAAGAAAGGAACGGAATTGGAAGGTGCGCATGCGCATTTCCAACCCAAGCCTTTGTAATAGGAAATCTAGAACTGCGCATGCGCGGCTTGTCTTGAATTGGGAAAGCAACTGCGCATGCGCGGCTTGTCTTGGACTGGGAAAGCAAAGCATGCAGGTCGGTTTGGAAGTGGCGGGAGCCCTGCCTGCTGTTACCATAGCGACCGAGGCTTCCGGTTAGAGGCTGCTGGGCAACCCAGAGCAGAGGGGTACCTACCAGGGGAACAAAAAGGAAGGTGGGCAGTACTTGTGGAGGCATAATTCAATAAGTATTTTCTTGTAATTACTTCTTTATGTAATTCTTTGTGTTGTCGAAGGCTTTCATGGCTGGAATCATTGGATTGCATGGCCATGTTCCAGAAGCATTCTCTTCTGACGTTTCTCCCACATCTATGGCGACTAAAACGATCAAGGGTCTGGAGAACAAGCCCTATGAGGAGCGGCTTAAGGAGCTGGGCATGTTTAGCCTGAAGAAGAGAAGGCTGAGAGGAGACATGATAGCCATGTATAAATATGTGAGAGGAAGCCACAGGGAGGAGGAGGAAATGGTCTGGAGAACAAGCCCTATGAGGAGTGGCTTAAGGAGCTGGGCATGTTTAGCCTGAGGAAGAGAAGGCTGAGAGGAGATATGATAGCCATGTATAAATATGTGAGAGGAAGCCACAGGGAGGAGGGAGCAAGCTTGTTTTCTGCTTCCCTGGAGACTAGGACGCGGAACAATGGCTTCAAACTACAAGAGGAGATTCCATCTGAACATGAGAAAGAACTTCCTGACTGTGAGAGCCGTTCAGCAGTGGAACTCTCTGCCCCGGAGTGTGGTGGAGGCTCCTTCTTTGGAAGCTTTTAAACAGAGGCTGGATGGCCATCTGTCAGGGGTGATTTGAATGCAATATTCCTGCTTCTTGGCAGAATGGGGTTGGACTGGATGGCCCATGAGGTCTCTTCCAACTCTTTGATTCTATGATTCTATGGCAGGCATCCTCAGAGATTGTGAGGTCTGTCTGGAAACTAGGCAAGTGGGGTTTATATACCTGTGGAATAAATGTCCAGGGTGGGAGAAAGAACTCTTGTCTGTTGGAGTTAGCTGTGAATGTTGCAATTAGCCATCTTGATTAGCATAGAATCATAGAATCAAAGAGTTGGAAGAGACCTCATGGGCCATCCAGTCCAACCCCATTCTGCCAAGAAGCAGGAATATTGCATTCAAATCACTGACAGATGGCCATCCAGCCTCTGTTTAAAAGCTTCCAAAGAAGGATCTTCCACCACACTCTGGGGCAGAGAGTTCCACTGCTGAACGGCTCTCACAGTCAGGAAGTTCTTCCTCATGTTCAGATGGAATCTCCTCTCTTGTAGTTTGAAGCCATTGTTCCATTGTGTCCTAGTCTCCAGGGAAGCAGAAAACAAGCTTGCTCCCTCCTCCCTGTGGCTTCCTCTCACATATTTATACATGGCTTGCAGCTTCAAAGACTGGCTGCTTCCTGACTTCTAGAACATGCCCATGCAGCCAGAAAAACTCACAGCAACCCTATCTACAGTGCCATATAATGCAGCTCGAAACTGCATTGTATGGTCAGTGTAGATCCATATAATGCAGTTTAACTATGTTGAACTACATTTTACGAGTCTATACTGACCACATGATGCAGTTTCAAACTGCAGCATTCAGGTATGGGTAATAGTATGAAACTGGGTTGTTGTAGGTTGTTTCGGGCTATATGGCCATGTTCTAGAGGCGTTCTCTCCTGACATTTCGCCTGCATCTATGGCAAGCATCCTCAGAGGTAGTGAGGTCTGACCTCGCTACTTCTGAGGATGCCTGCCATCGATGCAGGCGAAACGTCAGGAGAGAATCATAGAATCAAAGAGTTGGAAGAGACCTCATGGGCCATCCAGTCCAACCCCCTGCCAAGAAGCAGGAATATTGCATTCAAATCACCCCTGACAGATGGCCATCCAGCCCCTGTTTAAAAGCTTCCAAAGAAGGAGCCTCCACCACACTTCGGGGCAGAGAGTTCAAAGACTGTCTTCTTCCTGCCTTCTGGAACATGGCCATGCAGCCCGGAAAACTCACAGCGGTCCTATCTACACTGCCATATAATGCAGCTCGAAACTGTGTTGTATGGTCAGTGTGGATCCATATAATGCAGTTTAACTATGTTGAACTACATTTTACGAGTCTACACTGACCACATCATACAGTTTCAAACTGCAGTATTCAGGTATGGGTAATAGTATGAAACTGGGTTGTTGTAGGTTTTTTTTCGGGCTATATGGCCATGTTCTAGAGGCATTCTCTCCTGACGTTTCACCTGCATCTATGGCAAGCATACTCAGAAGTTGTGAGGTCTGATCTAGTGAGGTAGTGAGGTCAGACCTTACCTCTGGGGATATTTATTTATCGTGTCATCAGCAACCAGACATTTGTATTACATTTTAAACAAAAGCAAACAGGCAGACGAAACACAGAATTTGCAAGCTTGGTAGTTGATTAAATGTCCTTTGACCAGTATCTGGCCACTTGGAGTGCCTCTGGTGTTGCCGCAAGAGGTCCTCCATTGTGCATGTGGCAGGGCTCAGGTTGCATTGCAGCAGGTGGTCAGTGGTTTGCTCTTATTTATTATTTATTTATTTATTTACTTTGCTTATATAACGCTGTATCTCAAGCCCGAAGGCGACTCACAGCGGTTCACAAACAGTAAAAACAGTAGAAACAGCAGTGGTTCCATACAACATATAACAATTGACTTAACACATTATCCATAAATTACCAATCAGCAATTCACATGTCATGGATTCCACTTTGTGGCCCCATTTCTTAAGGTTGGCTCTGCATCTCGTGGTGCCAGAGTGCAGTCTGTTCAGCGCCTTCCAAGTCGCCCAGTCTTCTGTGTGCCCAGGGGGGAGTCTCTCATTTGGTATCAGCCATTGATTGAGGTTCTGGGTTTGAGCCTGCCACTTTTGGACTCTCGCTTGCTGAGGTGTTCCAGCGAGTGTCTCTGTAGATCTTAGAAAACTATTTCATGATTTAAGTCATTGACGTGCTGGCTATACCCAAACAAGGGATGAGCTGGAGATGTCTCTGCCTTGGTCCTTTCACTATTGGCTGCTACTTCCCGGCGGATGTCAGGTGGTGCAATACCATCTAAACAGTGTAATTTCTCCAGTGGTGTAGGGCGCAGACACCCCTTGATAATGCGGCATGTCTCATTAAGAGCCACATCCACTGTTTTAGCGTGGTGAGGTGTGTTCCACAACAGACCTCACTACCTCTGAGGATGCTTGCCATAGATGAAGGCGAAACGTCAGGAGAGAATGCCTCTAGAACATGGCCATATAGCCTGAAAAAACCTACAACAACCCAGTGATTCCGGCCATGAAAGCCTTCGACAAAATCAAGAAGCTGGGTCTGGAAGCTCTGAGCGTTACGCTGTTTCCGCTTCGCTCCTTCGGGAGCTCTGTTTGCGCAACGCAGAACAAAACACAGATATTATAGCAGGAATGTAAGAGTTATTTAATGGTAAAACCCTTATCCTAATCCTAAACCTTACCCTAACCCCTAAACCTAAACTTTACTCCTAATCCTAACCCTAATCCTTACCCTTACCCTACCCCAAACCCTAAACTTTACCCTAAACCTTATCCTAACCCTCCCCTCCTTTCTATTCTTCCACCAAATACAACTTTGAAGTATATTCCCACCCTCAGTGTGCCGCTCTCCTCTTCCCTTATTTACAACCGCCTTTGCGGAATGTGTGTATCGCTCGGAGCTTCCGAACCCAGCTATCATACTATCACCCAGGGATGTTCTGTTGTAGGCCTTTTGGTGACATGAGTGTGACTTGAGCATAATCTTGTGTTTATTATTGTCATAATAATAAGCAGTAACCGTAGCATGGGGTTTGAATCATGCCTATTCCTCCATGTTCTTCTTTTCTTTTCTGTTACCTTTTAATTGCATCAACTAATCTTGTGTTTCAATAGTCCATCAACTAGTTTTGTGCTTTGCTTAAAAGGAGCAAGAGCTGAAACGTTGGCTGTGAGCTGCTAATGTGATTGGAAAGGACTGCTGGCTGAAGATCCTTTGATTAGTTCCTCTGCTGTCAACAACCTTATCTTTCCCAACTTCCACATGAAGAAGAAACATCTTGACACTCAGCCAGCACTGCCTTCGGATGGCAAGCCTGCTGCTTGTGCTAAGAAGAAGGTCTCCATCTCTGTGAAAAGGCTTCGGGAAATAGCTCCGCCCCATCCTCTGGTGTTCTCTGCAAAGGATGATGGAGTTTATATTCCACCAGCCCTGATGGCAAACAAACCTGAATCTCATAAGACAACAACAGAAACGTCTGAAGGCACCACAGAAGGTACATTTGTTAGTATTGTATAAGTCCAAATCTTTTAGAGGTCAGAAGTTCAGTTGACTGTGAATGCCTTCCACATGTTGAGTATTATAAATGTCCCCTTCCCATCTTTCTTTGCTCCATCTGATTTGGTCTCGGCCTTTGCTTACTCTACTTTCTCCTTTTATATCCCACACCTCTTGGAAAGAGGGGCAACACCCCCTTTCGGGTGCTGTGGGTCTAGTTCAGGGCAGGGAAAGTGTAACCACTCAAAGATTGCTATTATAGCTTCCTTCAGCTCTGCCAAAAATGGTGAATTGGCCCTTTATGGAAACCCACAGGAATGGTGATTCATCTTTTAAATAGTTCTTGAGAACTTTCGCTGCAGAGTTTGAAATATATACATATACTAGCTGTCCCCTGCCACGCGTTGCTGTGGCCCAGTCTGTTGATCTGGAAAATAAAATAATGAGAAAATGTTGGTTTCTAATATATGTAATTTCTTTATGCTTGTGGGTAAACAGTATTTCTTGCTGTTTCTTTGTCAGTGTTGATGTGGAGAGTGTCTGGTTTGCCCACTCTGGAACATGCAACATATCATTGTCCTTCTTTAAGGACAATTATGAACATAAGAGTCCCTTTCAAATCTATGATATTATATCTCTGTGTGTATGAATTATATCTATCTATCTGTGGCTAGATGGCTATTTGTCAGGAGGGCTTTGATTACGTTTTCTTGCCCTGATGAAGGGAGTTGGATTGGATGGCCTTAAGTATTTTCTGTTGGTCATGGGGGTTCTGTGTGGGAAGTTTGCTCCGATTCTGTTGTTCATGGGGTTCAGAATGCTCTTTGATTGTAGGTGAACTGTGAATCCCAGTGACTACAAATCCCAAATGTCAAGGTCTATTTCCCCCAAACTCCATCTGTGTTCATATTTGGGCATATTGAGTGCTTGTGCCAAGTTTGGTCCAGATCCATAATTGTTTGAGTCCACAGTGCTCTCTGGATGTAGGTGAACTACAACTCCCAAACTCAAGGTCAATGCCCACCAAACCCTTCCAGTATTTTCTGTTGGTCATGGGAGTTCTGTGTGCCAAGTTTGGTTCAATTCCATCATTAATGGAGTTCAGAATGCTCTTTGATTGTAGGTGAACTATAAATCCCAGCAACTACAACTCCCAAATGACAAAATCATAATTTTTTGAGTGATGGTCACTCCTTGTGTTGTGAGACGTTTTGTTGACAAATTTGGTGTGATTTCGTTCATTGGTTCTTTTGTTTTTAAGGTACTCATTACGCACAGAGCATTTTTATATATCTAGATGTATTCATTTAAAATGCCTTGTTATCCAAAACCAAAAGTGGGCCAGGCTATAGCACAGCTGGTTAATCACCAGCAGCAATAGATCTTACCAATCGAAAGCTTGGCAGTTTGAAGCCCGGCTCAGGGTGAGCACCTGACCTTCAGCCCAGCTTACTGTCCACCTAAGCAGTTCCATAACAGCTGTGAGCTGTGAGTAGAAAAATTAGACAGTGCTTAAGTGGGGAGGTATTTTATGGCACCATAAAAAGGAAGTACCAGAAAATGCTGGCAATCAAAATAAAGGAGGAAGTCTGTGACCAAGGGCTCTTTGTCATAGAGGATGGAGCAACATCACCCCCTCCATGGCCGAAATTGAGGACAACCTCCAGGATGCTGAAGTTGGGAAAAATGCCCACATAATACCGCTATCTGTCTGTCTGTCTGTCCTGGATCTCAAATGGCATTGAGTGTTTGCCGTGTATGTGTTCTGTGATCTGTCCTGAGTCCCCTTCAGAGTGAGAAGGGCGAATATAAATGCTATAAATAAATAAATAAACTTCTGATCACTTCTAGTTTGTTTCTGTTTTCCTTGTTTGGCAGTTTGTGCCAAACAAGAAATTCAATTATTATTATTATTATTATTATTATTATTATTATTATTGTTATGGATATGAAATCATGACTCAGCATTTTAAATGGTTTTTAATCTGTTTGATTGATTGATATGTATTTTAATTGCTTATATGCTTAGATTGCTTTATATTTTGATTAGATATGTTTTATTATTTATCTGTGCAGCATTAAATTTTTGCCGGATTTGTACACCACCTTGAGTCCCCTCTGGGGTAGAAATGATGTAAATAAATTAATAACAAATAAATAAATTATTACAACTCCTGGAAAGACCAATTTGTAGAAAATCGTTTCTCAAGTGTGCTTGAATAGTGTGTGGCAGTTGAGTGCTAAAGGAGCAAAACATCTTGAATTTCCAGTGTCAAGAGCAATTATATGTAAAACTTAAATTGCAGCTAGCATAATACGGCCTTTCAATGAGTTTTTATGAATGCATAAGGAGTCTTGTGGGAGGCTCTCTGAGGGGATACGTGTGATACTTGGCCCTAAATTGAATTGTTACTCCTAATCAGATCAGTTCTACTGAGTCTATGTTGTTTAACTAAATTAATTACAGCTGCATTGTTCCAATGCTTGTCTAGACATTTAATAATAATATAATAATAATAAAACTTTATTTATACCCTGTCACCATCTCCCCAAGAAGACTCAGGGCAGATTACATGAGGCCAAGCCCAACAACACATCAATAAAACAACAAAGCAGTAATCAAATAAAATAATACAGTTAATATAACTCACATATAGACAATAACACAAAAAAAATTTTAAAACCTATGGCTGGGCCAGATGTAATAAATTAAAATTTTAAAATAAACTTTGGGCATGAACAGAGGTAGGATGTATCTAAGCAGGGGGGTATTAAAGTACAGTGTAGGGAGAGCAACCCAATGGGTAGTTAAAGTACTCTGAGGATATTTTGTAGGGAATTAATCAGAGCAGGGCATTGTTTCCTTTATTCAGGGAAGGCACACTGGAACAGCCATGTTTTCAGGCTCCTCCTAAAGACTGCCAATGTGGGGGCTTTAATAGTTTATGCTAACACTAGGCACGATATGTGTAGTTGCTTCTTATGCTAAACATGTATGCAAAAAGCATTCAATTCTCAGGTTTCCTCAGGTTAATCCATAGACAGATCATATAGTAAATTAACATTTCTTCTAGGTGATCTAAGCAAATATTTTGCCAGAGATTCAGAACAGCTGCCATCATCTGGAAAAGATGAACAGACACAACAGGGGATTCCAGAAGTAAGTGCATTCGTTTTCTTTGACATACAGGTGGTGTTTCATAGGCTTATTTCCAATAGGTTGTGTTGGTGATGTATTTCAACTTGCGGCTACCCTCAGGTAAACCTATAATGGGGTTGAAAGTGTGTGACTTGCTGAAGGTCACCATGGCTGAGCAGAGATGCAAACCCTCTCTGTCCACCTTTCTGGTTTCCAGAGTCTTAGTCCATTGCTCAAACCCTTATGCCATGCCGGCATGCAAGCATAGGATTATTCCATGTGTCTTGTCCAGAAAGAGACAAGATGCTGTCCTGTGTGTGGTTTGTAGAATGGAAGCTTCTTTCATGGTTTTCTTCTCCATCCCTCCAATAGGTTTGTTTCCAGGAAACTGCAGTACATGTTCCTTCAGAAGTGAAAGAAGAAGCAGCTAAACAAAAAGGTAATATAATGTATGCATGAGAATGCATCCTTATTTCTGCTGGAGATTCCAAAAGAGTTGAACTGAGTCTGAATCAACAAATTGTTGGGAAAAAAAGAGTTGGGTTATCAGTCCAGACTAAGTGTTCATCCAAATGATAAAACACATAATGTGGTTCAGTCATTGGTTCAGTTACAATCACAGTGATAACACAGAGTAAAATCTTTATCTTGGAAGATTTGAGTATCAAAGGAAGGCAATGACAAAGCCCTTTTGAACAGATCTTGCCAAAAGTGAATTGGTGGCCTTGGCATCACCACTGTCAGAAATGACTGGGAGGCACAATAACAATAGTTTATTTTCCTTTTATTCTACAGCAGTTGACATTTTTATCTCCCAGTATGATGCTGGGCAGAAGGAGGCTGTAAGAGCTGTATTCAAACAGCGGTAAGTATGACCACTTGGAACAAAGTATTAATCTCTTCAAATGGTTCTAAAGCACTAGATCTGTCCAGTCACATCTTGAGGGTACAAAGAATTGAGTGCCCCATGATGTCTTTCACATGGTCTTTCACATCCATGGTGGATCACAGCAGAAAAGGCAAACATGCAAACCCTGATATTTGTCAAAAGCAGTGTACTGAAATGAAGCTACATCGTCATTCGAAGAGCAAATATCCCCTCTTCCTTTGAATCCCTTTTTGACTAACTCTCACCTTTGAAGTACTCTATATAGTGATTCATTCAAGCTTTGAGGTAGATAATTTGGAGCTTTCTCCAGATTGTTTGGATTATATTCGCCATAAACTTTAGACCAGTGGTTAAACACTGGGTGTTGTAGTCTTAGATCATCTAGACCAGTGGTTCTCAA